ATTTTTCTAATCGCGCCCTTCAAAGACACTAACCATTTAGATGATGGTAATCATGCTTTTAATTAATTTTTACAATTTGTTTGTTTTGAAAGTTTAGCTAAAAATACATTTACTTTATATTTATTTATTGGTCAATATATGGACACTATCGGAGTGTCGATTAAATCATTTGTAGGTTGTTTTTGAATAATTTAACAAAATATATTTAGATTTATTTAAAAATACAACAAAATTATTAGATGAACATTTTTGCAGTTTTATTGTATGTTCCTAATTTGTTCCCCAAATGAAAACTCTGTTGCCTATTAAAACTGACCAGTTATTGTACCTTTAGATTATTACATACAATATACCCCTATTTACTTAACTTTTTGTAAACGGGAAAACCTTTAGAACAAACATGTGATAAATACTCAATTATATGGCAATCAATTAATAGTATATGTCATCAATAATAATGATGACAATAGTATGGATCACAGGATCCTAATTGTCTATATATTGATTTTATGAAACTTTGAAAATGCGCTAATGATTTAATCGACAGTATATGTTATACTATATGCCTTTATTGTGTATTTATTTTTGTAAAAAATTAATAATCTGTATTCAAATCCTTTATTTTAATATTTAAAAATAATATTTAGTTCATTATTATTTTTTCATTGTGACTGTTTTATCAAGAATTTGTTTGCTTGAAATGTTTTTGATTGAATTTAAATAAAAATCACTATTTGTTATAAATATGAATGATATTATGACAAAAATAAAATAAAATATTATTTATAAGATCCCGCGAAGAAGATATGTTTTACACCGGAATGCGTCAAAACAGGTAAATATAACATTATATTTCGGTTTTTCTTAGAAAATTCAGGCAATCATTTGAAAAATGTGCAGAATTTGTCAAAACAATGTGCATAACAAATAATTTCTATTGAAAACATCTAAATGTTTAACAAAAATGTGTTGATTGTAAAAATGTGTTGGAATTTTGTAGCACAGAATAACCGTAATGTTTATCTCATTAACAATAACAGCCGCATCTCTGGTAAATGCCATGGATTTAAGTGTTGATCCGTGCGAAGACTTCTTTCAGTTCGCTTGTGGCACTTGGAATAAGAAACACATCATTCCTGAAGACAGATCCAGTATCAGTACATTTGAAGTATTGGCAGATAATCTACAAATATTACTCAAAGGTGTGCCAAATTAGACAAATACATTTTCACCACATTTTATTGTTATAAAAATATTGCCAAAATTGATTAATTTGCAGACCTTTTGGAACAACTGCCCAGCAGTTACGACAACAGCGCTACTATTAAAGCCAAAATTTTCTACAAGTCTTGTATGAATACAAGTATGCATTTATTGAGTCAATGAAATGAAATGAATTGAAAGCAAAACTTTTTGTAATTGATTTGAAGAGAGAATTGAAGAGATCGGTGATCAGCCTTTGCGCGAAGTAATCAAAGAATTGGGTGATTGGCCGGTACTCAGCCAGAAGTGGTCCAATCCTCGCACCAAACTTGAGGTCTTATTGGGAAAGTTGAGGGGAGAGTACAATCAGGGACTTATTGTAGAGCAATGGGTTGGACCCGACGATCGGATACATCTCCGCGAACGTCAATCATATTGAATGGAAATATATTGAGTTCACTCTCACCGATACCTCCCATCAGACCTCCCGCTCCCTTTTCATCCAAAACCCATATATATGACAATCATTTGAGTGGTAATAAAGTGAGACAAACCATATCGACCTCAACGATGACAAACTATCAGCGCTCGTCCTATACAGAGGACGAACACTTGAGACTACAGGAGCAGTACTTAAGGGGAAGAAAAGACACTATTATTAGTATTGGCAAAAGTTTTCACATTCAGATTCAAAGTCCGTCGACTAAATTCATACTTTGGAAGGGAAGGACTTCTCTTGAAAAATGTCTCTTTTTGACCGTCGGATGCCTTCTATTAGTTTTCACCATTTTTCTAATCGCGCCCTTCAAAGACACTAACCATTTAGATGATGGTAATCATGCTTTTAATTAATTTTTACAATTTGTTTGTTTTGAAAGTTTAGCTAAAAATACATTTACTTTATATTTATTTAATGATCAACATATGAAAATTATCGGAGTGTCGATTAAATCATTTGTAGGTTGTTTTTGAATAATTCAACAAAATATATTTTGATTTATTTAAAAATATAACAAAATTATTAGATGAACATTTTTCCAGTCTTCTTTGTATTTTCCTAATTTATTGCCCAAATGCAAACTCTCTGTTGCCAATAAACTGACCAGATATTGTACTTTTAGATTATGGCATACAATGTACTCTTTACCTCTATTTACTTAACTTTTTGTAAACGGGAAAACCTTTAGAACAAACATGTGATAAATACTCAATTATATGGCAATCAATTAATAGTATATGTCATCAATAATAATGATGACAATAGTATGGATTACAGGATCCTAATTGTCTATATATTGATTTTATGAAACTTTGAAAATGCGCTAATGATTTAATCGACAGGATATGTTTTAGTATAACAGTTATACTGTATGCCTATATTGTGTATTTATTTTTTTAATTAATAATCTGTATTCAAATACTTTATTTTAATATTTAAAAATAATATTTAGTTTTTAGTTTATTATATTTTCATTGTGACTGTTTTATCAAGAATTTGTTTGCTTGAAATGTTTTTGATTGAATTTAAATAAAAATCACTATTTGTTGTAAATATGAATGATATTATGACAAAAATAAAATAAAATATTATTTATAAGATCCCGCGAAGAAGATTTGTTTTACACCGGAATGCGTCAAAACAGGTAAATATAACATTATATTTCGGATTCTCTTAGAAAATTCAGGCAATCATTTGAAAAATGTACAGAATTTGTCAAAACAATGTGCATAACAAATAATTTCTATTGAAAACATCTAATTGTTTAACAAAAATGTGTCGATTGTAAAAATGTGTTGGAATTTTGTAGCACAGAATAACCGTAATGTTTATCTCATTAACAACAACAGCCGCATCTCTGGTAAATGCCATGGATTTAAGTGTTGATCCGTGCGAAGACTTCTTTCAGTTCGCTTGTGGCACTTGGAATAAGAAACACATCATTCCTGAAGACAGATCCAGTATCAGTACATTTGAAGTATTGGCAGATAATCTACAAATATTACTCAAAGGTGCGCCAAATTAGACATTTTCACCACATTTTATTGTTATAAAAGTATTACCAAAATTGATTAATTTGCAGACCTTTTGGAACAAACGCCCAACAGTTACGACAACAGCGCTACTATTAAAGCCAAAATTTTCTACAAGTCTTGTATGAATACAAGTATGCATTTATTGAGTCAATGAAATGAAATGAATTGAAAGCAAAACTTTTGTAATTGATTTGAAGAGAGAATTGAAGAGATCGGTGATCAGCCTTTGCGCGAAGTAATCAAAGAATTGGGCGATTGGCCGGTACTCAGCCAGAAGTGGTCCAATCCTCGCACCAAACTTGAGGTCTTATTGGGAAAGTTGAGGGGAGAGTACAATCAGGGACTTATTGTAGAGCAATGGGTTGGACCCGACGATCGGAATTCTTCAGTTAATATAATTCAAGTGAGACTCACTTTTTTATCACATAAGTTATGAAGCATTCGAAGAATTCTTATAATTAAAATACTGTTACTCTGGCATCAAAGTTGGATCAAATGTCTTTAGGTCTTCCGAGTAGAGATTACTTTCTCAAAGAGACGAGTATAAGGGAAAGAGACGCCTACTTGAAGCTGATGGTCGAAATTGCAGTCTTATTGGGAGCCGAAAGACCCTACGCTTTGGATGAGATGACAAAAGTGTTAGATTTTGAGACACAACTCGCAAATGTATTAAACACTCTCTATATCTCTCTGACATCGACTCAAATCGTATGACACAATCAATTGTATCTGTCATTAGGTGTCAATGCCTGAGGCGGACCGACACGACACGGGAGCCATTTATAAGAAGCTTACGTTACGAGAACTCAAGTCTTTAATACCAGAGTTTGATTGGATTCTGTATTTGAATACTCTTTTACCGACTCCTGTCTTCACAGATGAAGAAATAGTTATTTATTCAATTGAATACTTTCAAGAAATGGGAAAAATCATTGCCAGACACGAGCCAAAGATAATACACAATTATGTCATCTGGAGATTTGTTAAATACATTCTTCCATATCTCGATGGAGATTACGCGGCCTTCAGGACTGAATTTAAGAAAATATTACTCGGTTTGCATTGAATTGTCAAATGATTATTCAAATACAGCATATAATATGTTTGGCATACATCAGGAATATCCGCTGATAGGATCCGTTGGAATCAATGCGTGGAGTTAGTGAACAAGAAGATGGGAATGGCTGTCGGGGCGCTGTTTATACGACACAACTTTGATCCCAAAAGCAAGGAAACGGCTCTTGAGATGATCGGTAACATAAGGAATGCATTCAATGAACTCTTATCGTTAAACGAATGGATGGACGACTCGACTATACAAGTGGCCCGAGAAAAGGCTAATTCCATCAATGAGAGGATCGGTTACCCGGAATTGTTGACAAATCCCATAGAATTGTCCAAAGAATATCAATTAGTATAAAACATATGTTTAATTTAACAAACAAAAAAATCTTTTATTTTATTAATTAATTTTCTAATTTAGTTAACAGTTTTTGAAGACCAGTTTTTGCAGAGCATATTAGGAGTACTTAAATACGAGTCTTCAAAAAATCTGTTGAAATTACGACAACCGGTAAATAAGGACCGCTGGACTACTGAGCCCGCAGTTGTCAACGCTTTCTACAATCCAAACAAGAATGACATTGTATTTCCGGCCGGAATATTACAGCCACTCTTTTATTCGCAACATTTTCCAAAGTAATTCATGTTTAGTTAGTTTTAGTTATTTTTAAACAATCATATATTTTATTATCTATAAAACAGATCATTAAATTATGGCGGAATAGGAGTTGTAAGTATTCTTATCATTAAATATCTTGTTATAATGTAATGTAATATTGAATAATTAATGTTAATTGTTATTACATTTGTATCTATTTAGGTGATCGGTCACGAAATAACACACGGGTAGACAAATAGTAATATTTATACTTGTGTTCAAATGGTTTGACAATTGTCTCATTGATCACAGTTTCGACGATAAGGGCCGACAGTTTGATAAGGAGGGGAATTTGAAGCAGTGGTGGAATAACGCGACAATTAAGAGGTTTAGACAAAGAGCTCAATGTATTATTGATCAGTATTCCAGTTATGTTCTCGAAGATATCAGAATGAATGTGAACGGCAAAATGACCCAGGGTATTCAGCATCATCAAAAACTATAAACATTTCAACAAATGATAGTTATTATGGTGATTTAATTGATTCAATTTTGGTACATATTGATAGACAATAAGGAACTTCGAATAAATCATCATAATACTTCACAGACTTTGCTTGAATGTTTATAATTTAATTCATTAATTTATCATTTCTTTAATATTTAACTTAAATATAATATTTAGGTGAGAATATTGCGGACAACGGAGGTCTTAAACAGGCTTATAGAGTGAGTTTAATTAATAGACGATTTGCTTATTATTGAATAGGTTTTAAGTTTCACTCGTTTTTTGTTCATTACTTATTTAAGGCATTCAAAAAGTGGGAACAGAGAAATGGAGTCGAACCCAGACTTCCCGGAATTGATTTAACTCACGATCAGCTCTTCTTCTTGAATTACGCACAGGTTTTACATTGTTTTATACAATAATAAACTTTTTAATTATTTTGATTTACTAAATGCATGGCTGAAGATATGGTGCGGATCTATGAGACCAGAAGACGCTCTGAGCAAAGTTAGATCATCGGTTCACAGTCCCGGACCCATCAGGTATGATGTGTTTGAATGCAAACTCACGTATTAATTAGCATCACTTGAATACATGATTAGAGTATTGGGTCCGCTGTCCAACTCATATGACTTCGCAAATGCATATCAATGTCGAGAGGGATCGCGAATGAATCCATTAAAGAAATGTTCCGTTTGGTAGACAATGCTTTGTATCTTATATCGCATTTAATGTATAATTAATTCATTATATGTCTTAAACATTAAGAGTATCTATATTTGAATCAACACTTTTACACAATATTCAAACATTTATAAATTATATTTCATTCATTCATAAGATTATTATTTTATTAAATTATAGATAATTTATGTAAAGTGTGTGTTAAAAATGTAAGAATTAAGTTGACATGAAATTTTATTTAATTTGATTTAAACTATTACTAAATTAACTAAATATTCAGGAGTTTTAGTAAATTGGTATTTCTTGAAATTCATATCTAAAATCCTTTTAAAATGTGATACTTTTAAACACTTAAACGTCTAGTTCTTCGGGACGAGAGTCTAGAAAATTAGACAATTTAAAATAGTTTATAAATTTTTGTCTATTCTTAATTATAATCATAATATTTAAAAATAGTTTTAATTGTAACATGTAAATTTAGACTTCTACATTACTATGTAGTAATGTTAAACTGTATATAAAATCATTATAATATAACAAACCTTATCCCTATTAAATGTTGCCATTATATGGATTTTAATATAAAAAAGTTATACTGAATTGAAAATTAAATATTAACACAGGAATAGCTATTAAATACAATGTCCTGTCATTATATAGAAATATATAATTATTTGTAATAATGTTCATTCATTATTTAAAATTTAATTTAATGTAAATTATAAATGTTTTAACCAAAAACCAATTATATTAGAAATGGTTGTTTTGTAAGATTGTCGATAAGATTCATATCATATTTTGTATTTTTGAGTACATTATTTGTATCAATCAATTAGAGAAATGATAGATATTTGACAGAAATAAGTACTCAAATAGTTATGTTTGTGAATATAAACACATATAATACAAATATATTATTTATTATTTAATTATACATTAATATGTTTAAAATTTTAAATGATTAATAATTATGTATTTATTATACGAATATATCTATTGATTGTTTTAAAGTTTGAATTCTTTGAAAAGAGTATTTATAAGGAATTTATGAATTATTTGTATCTCTGAATAATTTGGAAACTATTTGTTTTGTCATTTGGTTGTAAATTATTTTAAAATTAAAACATACATACTTTACAGTATTACCAATCTCAATCATTAATTACTTTATAAATGATAAATAAAATTAAGTTTGTTTTATTTATTTATAATTTATAAATATGCTGTTAAATGGTCACTTTACAAATATTTCTCAAAATGTGTCACTTTTTGGAGTACTGTTTATTTTTAATTATATTTTGGTGTTTTTTAATTCAATAAAAAATATTCAATTATTTATTGACTTATGAGTGAAGGAAAACAAAGAAATGTCATTTTTGTCAAATGAATAAATTACAAAAACTATAATTAAAATATTGGACTAAAGATAAGATAACTATAAGACTAAAGATAAATATAAGACAAAAAATTAAATAACTAATAACTTAATCACCAAATATGTTATTCTGGGCGTTAATTACCGGTATATTGAATATATAATTTGATTATATCTTATTAATACTTTTTCATTAAACTAACGATAAATAAAATGTTATTAGTGTATAATTTCAATGATTAACATAACGGACATAAAACATTTATTGTTTTTTATTACAAATCAACACGTTTATAAATAAATAATCAAAAATGATTTGAATTCATTTTTTAGATAAATTAATTAATGAAATTTACATATAATTTTAATTGTGATAAAGAAATTATAAATTAAAATATATATAATAACACCAAATATTTACCGCAGTTTCCTCTATATATATGGTATGACTTTATATTAAAAAGTTAACAATTTTGTGGTTCATTTGAATTCATAATTTAAAATTTAAAAATTAATTTATGATTTAATCGCAGTGTCGGACACTTTGGCACCGTTTTCGGCCAACTTGTCGGCCGGTATCTCACGCTTCTTCACGAACCCTCCGAAACCCGATCTATCGATTTCATCGAAGTTTCGTTTATTGAATCCATTGAACGCCGACCTATCGATCTCATCGAAGTTCTTCTTACTTATGCCACCGAAAGCCGATCTATCGATTTCATCGAAGTTCCGCTTCACGAACCCTCCAAACCCTGTTCTGTCGATTTCGTCGAAATTTCTTTTATTAAATCCCCGGAAACCTGTGTTATCTATTTCGTCAAAATTGCGTTTCGATGGCTCTCCCAATGCCATCCCATTCATCGCATCCAAACTATTATCCAAATATATCAAATCAATACATTGTCAGAGAAACACAAACTCTCTCTCTCTCTCTCTCTCTCTCTCTCTCTCTCTCTCTAATTTACTCATATAAAGTATAAATATTTTTATAGCATTGAATTTAAAGAAGTTCTTCTTTAAGTACAATAACTAATAAATTGATGAATTAGTTATTCTAATGCTAATGAGTATACCTTCTCTTTTTAGCTGATCCGATGGATACACCACTCATAGTGTCCAGACTTGTTCTCTTCGGCCGATCCAACGAATATCTCAAGTAATTTGGGCTAAGATTTCCATTTTTCAGAGCATTTAAAATCTCTTCAGCGCTAATGCCTTCAAAGGTGATGAAAACACGTCCACCACTTATACTGTTCAGAGCCCTATAATTGTATCGCAAAAAATATATTTGTTATATTTAATTGAAAAGATATTTATATACACAGTAAATGAATACCTCAATAGTTGTGTCCCTGAAATCTTCTCAATTGAATGCTTTAGATTTTCGTCTATTGAGTTGTAATAAAAGTAATTAAAGCGATATATAAATGTTTGCCACAAATATTTATTACATATATTTTTCTCAAATATATATTATTTATTTACCAGCGATTCTATTGAGTGTTTTGGATAAAAGCCCTCCACTTAACGGATCAAGAGATCGCAAGACTTGCGAACCACTTATCCTATTGAGTGCCGGCGTTTCAATCAATTTCCTGATGAGATCGGCGCCTGTCATCGCATTCACCGGACTATCGCCACCTGTCATCCCATTAAAGCCGTCATACTATCCATTCAATCAATAATATAATACATATTTAATTCTCGTTGCGATTTATAATTAATGCATAGTTTCTTATGTAAACACTAATTACATGATATACTGAATATTAATTAGTAGAATAAACAATATTATATGTAGAATGAGGATAATTTATATACACAATAGATAGAAAATATTTATCAATTATAATTAAATTATGATAATTTTATCATATGTTAAATATATGCAATAGTAATATAAAATTAAAAATTAGGTACCAATTGATAAATTGATGCTATCATTAAGATTGAATCAAATGGCTAACTATGGGGTTACGGGTAATTTAATTTAACAAATCCAGTTTAGTATTTAATGTGGCGTAAACTGTTATAAACTATTACAATTAAGTGCATTAATTTAAAAACATGTTAATATACATATGTATGATAGCATTGGAGGAATAAATTACACAGGTAAAGATAAAGTAATAACATGTATTGTATAAATAAAAATAGTTTTAAATATTAAAAAAATTCAAAACTTTAAATATTTGTAATTGAATTTGGATGTAATCGAGTATATAAGTTATTAGACCAGTTTTTTATATAAAAAATGAATGACAATTTTCTAAATATAATTCAATTTGTTGTTATATAATGTACTTATAAACGCATTGTACAGCAATTGATTTTTATATCAGTAAAATAGTATTTCCAATTTTTACCATTTTACTATAAGTTATACTATATTTATGATCAATCGATGTGTGAATTGAATGCCTAAAGAAAAATATAATACAAAATATAGAGAAAGAAATAAATTTTCTAAAAATTGTTTCTATAGAATTCAGTTCTCATAATAATTATGTTTGTTTTAGTATATAATACACGTATTTTGGAAATATCTACAGTAATTGATTTCATTTATCTATTTGTGGAAAGGTTTTAGTAATGATTAATATAAATCATTATACAGACTATAAGTTAATATTTTATACATACATTAAATAATCATATTAATTATCAAAGAATTTAACTAATTATTGGTCAGCAAATGTCAGATAAATTTTTAATTTAGTATACGTTAAAGATTGCAACGTTAAACAATACAATACTACAATATATTGTTTTAATAATTGTTGAATATATATTACATTATGTTTAACAAAATTTGCTTATTTTACTATAAAATACAATTTAATAAAAACAAGCCTAGCTGAAACAAATTTAAATTAAATAGCATTGTTATAATACTATTTACTGTTAATAATAGGATAAATGGTTTGTTAAATATCAATAATTCTTAAATATAGTATTAAACACAAATGCATTGAATAAACTGTTTATATAAGAATATTGTGGACCAAAACTCAATTCTTTATGAGGAGTTATAATGCAATCAATCTTTTTATATTCATTTCTTTGCATACAATACACAAAACATTACTTTCAATAGCATTACTGTATAAACACTTGAAGAATCGTTTGTAAATTTTGAACCAAAAATAGTTTATATATAGAGTACAAAGAAAATATTAGACAAAAGACACGTTTAATACTTTGATAATTTAATTTTGAAAACTTTCTCCACATTTAAAACTATAATTCTGTAAAAATATAACACTTTGTTTGCAAATATACAATAATGAGTGAAATTGGAAAAAAATTAATGATTGTTAGAAACCAAAATATTTAACAATTATTATTTCAATTTAATTATTTTTAATAAAATTATGTTTTTATAAAATACTCTATAATAATTTATGTTTTTCACACATTTGAAAATGACACAAGTTATTCAAAAAATAGATAAAATAGCATTTTAATAATAAAATTGTATAACATTATGAGGTACATAATGTACAGTTCATATCAGTAAAGATTTGCTTTCATGCTCTTCTCGTAATTTTTTATTTAACAACTTGTGTGAAACACTAGTTTACATTAGTTAACAACACTAGTTAATTAGGTTTGCTAAATATGATTTGATAATCTGATATGGATTTATATATTTCGAAAATAGTAAATTTAATTTATCTTTCATTACAATTTTTTAAAATAATTTAGTATGGTAAGATAAATATTAAGCTAACTTTTTATATCTTTTAAATATTTAACTTAACAAATAATATAACAATGAAGTGATTCTTGTGTTTACACTTTGGATAAAATGTTTATAAAATATTGAACAGAATTAAAATATCCTTTAAGAATAGCCCCGAGATTTTGAAATATAATTTAAATTTTGTTTCTATTTTCAATAATATTTTGAATCACATTTTTGGTTACTTTTCTATTTTTTATAACAAAAATCACAATTTATTAATAATAAAATCCTTTGAAATTGATATGCGTTACCGTAAATACAATTTAAATATAAAATCACTTTCAAATTGTGACCAACTATTGTATTGATTTTATGGATCAATTTTTATAAGTTTCAAATCAAGACTTGATATTCAAATACATCGTTATATGTTATTTAATTTCACTTCACTTTTCAAACATTTCGTTTCAACATATTTTAAAGTCAATAAAATTTTGAAATATTTTTATATTTTTATTATTTAATAGTTTGATTCAAAAAAGACAAACTCAAAACAATGAACAAATCTTTGATTAGCAAATGAATTCACGTCTTATTATTTGCTTTTAAAACTTGAATGAATTGAATAAATAAATGAATGAATGGAAAAACTATAGGTTTTGTTTCAAAATCTATTTTATATAAAAATTTTCAAATATCATAGATTTTATTATATATTTCAACACTTTAGGCCTTCGAGATGATTAACTGACATTTCTATAGTTATAAGTTATAACATAACAAAAATATACATTTTGATATAAACTGATCGCAAAAATTTTTATGTTAAATTGTGAGTGAATTGTTTTAAGTTTAAACTAAATTAAGTTTTTATTTAGATTTTCATTGTAATTGATATTTACAATAAAACTTATTAGTATTGATAGTCATACGAATCATTAGTAAATTTTCTATGAATAACATTTATCGCATAAAAGTTTTAATTAGTTTTTTAAATAATATTTTGATAAATTCTATTGAATTTGGTTTTAAACATAAATTGTAATTAACTATTGAGTGATCTTATGAATAGATATTTACGTTAAATTCTTTATTCATATCATTTGTAAATGTTTTCAATCAAATGAAAAGGTTATTAGCTTTGTTATGATTGGCGTAGATGTGAAAAACATTATTACAGAGAAAAGGTAATTGGATTTTGAAAAATATTAATATTATTTGTTGAATGAGTTGTAATTATAACAGTTGTAAAAAGAAATATTTAAATTGATTTTTTTCACCTTTTCATACCTTCTGTTCATTCATAGAAAAAGGTTTTGTTTGTCCGGATATTCTATAATCTAAAACAATATCATTTATTTGAAGTTATAATAAGTATTTAATAAAAAACGTGTTCAGAAATCTACGCAAATTTTGAATTTGTAATTATTGAAAAACTACCCTGACGATTTTAATGAAATTAAGTTTATTTTAAAGATCAATGTATAGCATTACTGTATAACATAGTTCTCGTTGACAAACACCTATAATACATATACCGGACGAGCATTTTTGAAACTGATAATATATCTAAACTATATTCTATAACTAAATAATAAGTTTTAATTTTAACAGTTTGTTGGGAAACATTCACACGATTTAATTTTTTCATAAAAGTCAAGAAATTTGTTTTTTTAAATGGGTTATGTAGAATAATTAGGTTAGGTGTTTGTCAGTTGGGAACTATGACACTTTAAATGTCATACATTTATCTTTAAAATAAGCTTAATTTCATTGAAATCAACCGGGTAGTTTTTAAATAATTACAAATTAAAATGTGCTTATATGGCTGAACACATATTTCTACTGTAGTTTCTGTACATACAGTATAGTTATTATAGTGAGGGAAATATAATACAATTTATTGGTGAAAAAACACTGACAGAGCCTATCATTTGCTAAAAGATTGAGAAACTGATTAAAACACAAAAAAGATTAACATTTGGTTTGAGTGACAAATACCAGAACAATAAGAATAATCTTAAGATTTTTATGGATAATAACCATTCAAAATGTCGACACATATTAGTTATCAAAGTTGTAAATGTTTTTAACCTGTGTTTTGTAATTAACGTCAAATTATGATTAATTTTGATATCTTTTATATTAATTTGTATGTATTTATGTTTTGTTTATTTAATCAAAAATTTAATCAAAATTTAATCAAAATAAAATTCTACACTTTTATTATAGCTCTTAAAATAATATTGATGTTATGCGACATATATTTTAGATGGTTTTTAACACTTATTCAGACAAAGATAAAACTTACATTTTACAAAAAATTAAATAAAATTACTTTTAATATAAATAATATTTATAATACATCTTATAAATAACCATTGACTCTCTCTCTCTCTCTCTCTCTCTTTCTTTCTTTCTTTCTTTCTTTCTCTTAAATGTATCATATTTTCCGAATTATTCTTTAAATTTTGTTATTTATATTCACTTTAATAATGATTATAATTATTATAAGAAAGCCTATATTATATTTCTTATAAAAATAATTATGTCATAGAAAAGCAATGTATATTTTTAACACCATCAATTTTCTATTCTTAAACTAGATCATTTAATCGTATGCTTAAAAATGAACAAAGAAAAACTTTAAACATTTGCATATTTAATAAAAGTATACATCGATTTTTTAAATGTTTAAAGATTGTTATGTTAGTATTTAAAAATTCTACCATTTATTAAAATTTTCATAATATTCACATGAAAAACATAAAAACTTATACTTAATTAAATTCATATAAGTAATGAATTAATAAAATATAAAAATTAATTAATTAACAATACTTACCACTTCTGCCAGAGCTGAGCATCCATTGAATGCAATTGAAGTGAATAGTATTGAAGCAATAATAGTATGGAATATAACTCTCATTTCAAATAACTTTTTTATTTAACTATTTTTGATAATAATAATGAAAAATGAGAAATAAAACAATGAATGAAATGTATAGAAGAGAGTGAGAAAACAGCGGTTATGTTATGGGTTTGTGGAGCGCTTGTATGAGATGTTTCGTAGACTTAATCGGATAGTGAATGTGCGCCACGGCTTATATGCCTGCCATGAGTGGAGGCGTACACTCACTACACATACCACGGGTTGGACACCCAGTCTGTGACGCCCGACACTATATGCTCTCAATTTTAACAATCGTATCACATATTATACACCGATTTTAATACATCACACAAAAACACTTTTCCTTTTAATTGTCTTTATTATTAATTCTTATAATAAAGTAATTTGTTTTTGTCATACATTTATAGATTTATAGTTATTCTCAATACAATTCTCTCAATAAATTTTCATTATTCTTGAAAATTAATTAATTTTAACGTATATTATATATAAAATATCTTTTGTTTATAATTCTATATAATATAGTTGTTAAATATTAAAAATCTAAGAATGTATTCTCTTTTTATTTAAATACATTCAAATATTTTCACAATAATGTGTTTAGAAAGACTGAATCTATAGATTAATAAATATACAAAAATTTAATTAAAAATAATTTATCAAAAATAGATTACAATAAAAATATTTTAAAAATTAATTTATTTTAATTTACAATCGATTATGAAATACAGATTACAATTACTTAATAAGTAAAATTAAAAGCTTTAAAATTATATATTAAAATATGAATTTTTAGTGAATTTTATAAATACTGTACCGGTATTTAAAATTAACATCAATTCTTAGACGACTTGTTTTATTGAATGATAAATTATAAAAACATTGTTATAAGTTATAACTGTTAAGGAATGTGTAGAGAATGAGTGTCATTGCCATATATTAAATGCACTTTTCGTGTTAAATGCCATTATATCCCAGTATGTGATCACTGATCACAACAAAGCGATTCACAATTTGAATAAACTTAAATCTAATTGAAATATAAAAAACTTATGTTTATAACGATATCATTGAACTTATTTAGTAAATGTGTTTGTGTTTAGTATTTAATCAAATAATCATTATTCAGATTCATTAAAAAGTAGATCAATGGTAAAAGTGGTCACTAATAGTATAGAAACAAGTTCTTCAACGCCGGGCGGTAATGACCATTGCTTTTAAGACGACTATAATCAACAAATTGAGGACATTTTACTATAATAGCATTTCACCTGATTTTCATTATATTATTGCATTAACATTATGAATATGAATATACAAATCAATATAATTCATATTTTATATAAAAACATTTCATACGTACTATTTTATAAAAGATTTTTACTGATATACACATATAATATGTTACATATTATACACTCTCCATATCATGGTAATAATGAGATATTAATTATATTATAATTGACCAAGGTAATTTGTAATTCAGTACTTACTATAAGCGTATAACTAGCATAAATTAAATTACAACATTTACACTTATAAATAGTTAAAATATGTCATAATGGCTATGAAATACATCATCTTTGTAATTATGATAATTTATAACACTAAAATAGAAATCCTCAATGTGTAGAATATTCTTAAGGTGTAATTAGGTTTGTTAAGATATGTTTTGATTAACACATCTCTCATTTGAATTATTAACATGTTTTTAATTCTCGTCACAATTTTAAGTAAATGTTTATATTTTTATAAAAAATATATTTTATTTTTAAACGTGTTATTTGACAACAATATTGGATTTGTTTAATGTTGCGGATTATAAAAAGCGTGTTTTGGAATTGAATGCCTACAAGTAGTGAATCGATTAAAACGTTTGTTTTTAATTTTTTTCTAAACCATTAAGTTTATTTAAGTTTTATTAAATAAATACTGTATTACCGATATATCAAAATATTTCTATCTCTATACTTATAAGTTATTTAAAAATTATTTTAGACAAAACTTTTACAAATTGTCTGATAAAGTCTGAATTTGACGTCTGAATACACTTAATAGTCACTAATTATTGTATGACATTTTGAACATTGAAAATAAATAAATTACATTATAACAATTTATTGAATGCATTTTGAGTGAACTTATTTGATTTCAGATAAACCTTTATTCGATTATCACAATATTCTCTCTCTCTCTCTCTCTCTC